AATTCTTGTTTGATCTTTCGTGCTTGATCCATCTTCTTCTTCTCTCTGGCAATGGTGGCCTGAAGATCAGCCAGCTCTCTCTCTTGTGATTTGAGTTCTTTGTTAAGCTCATTTAACTTCTGCATAGTGACTAGAACACCACTTGAGTTTGGAGAACTACCTCCAGACAGTGTACCAGATGGATCATAAGAATCACCTTCTAATGTGATACTCTTCATTCGAACAGAAGGATCGAATGTAACTCGCTTAGCTGTAGCCGCATCTGCGCAGATGAGAGTATTTCCGAATACGTAATCCATAGCAGTCGAAACTTCTTCATCGTATCCAACCAAGGACAGTGCAAGATCGACTTTGCCCGGGGCAATTCTTTGAGCAGCACCAATCTTTTCCGCTGAAGCTCGGAAAGCGGCAATCTTATTCAAAGGGATGATAGTGACTCGCTTCCTTAATTTTCCATTTTGAAGTAATTGGGTACCAGTAACTTCCGTGTCAACGACAACATTGTACAAACGACCACCTGCACAAATTTCGAGGGCTGTTCCCGCAGCTGTATGGTTCTTGTCAATTGTGAAAAGTTGAGCCACCAAACCCTTAACTTTCGATCTATCGAAATTTGGGGTAGGATCTGCGTAATTGAAGTCCACATTTGCTACTTTACGTTTCAATCCATCTGCCTGTTCCCGGATTCTTCGGATATTTTGCTGAATAGTCGATTCTTGCTTGTACATGTCATCCTCCTTGCCTGCTTCGAAGCCTAAATTCTGAAGCTCCTTTTCGAGTTTCTGAGCTTGAGATCGTAATCCCTCAAGGTCTCCAAGTAGTCCAGCATTCTGCTCTTTAGCCTTTTTCGACCTGGGTTCTTCCTCTTTGACTCGCTTCTGAAGATGAGTGATCTTCAATTTGGCTTGCTCTTCCTCGGTGGATGCAGCACTCATTCGATTCCTTGCATCCTGTAGTTGGCCTTGATACCCACTCTCTTGGCCTTCCTTGGATGCGACACCAGTTTGTAAAGTTTGCAAAAGCTCCTCTTTTGTCTCTGCTTCTGAATTTTGCTTCTCTAAATCTTCCTTGGCTTTGTCGTATTGCGATTGTAATTTTTCGTAAACCTTGGTTTTCTGTTTAAGTAGAGATTCCATCTCTGAAACCGTCTTTTGCGTTGCCAACTTTCGTTCCTGCTCCTCCGCCATACTCGATTTTTTTAGATCCATGACCGTCGCCAGTCGAACCAATTCATGAGAATATTTCTTAACCTCTTCTTCTAAAGCTGACGCTTTTCCACCCTTCTTTAATTCTTTCTCCCGTTGTGCCTTCACCCGTTTGATATCTTCTTCCAAGAATGAGATTTCGCTTTTCAATCGGTTCGCCGATTCCTCCAATTCTATCGCCCGTTGTTTCTTGAGCTCGAGATCATTAGCTGACTGGGCAACCTTTTCTTGATTCTTCAAGTAATCATGCGCCACCACCACTCTTGTGAGTCTCTCCAAATCGTTCTGTGTTTGTTGATAATCCAGGAAAGCCCGTTTCTCCGTCCGCAGCTTTTCCAACTTTGGCTCGATTTCTTCTTTCAATAACTCAGTGATCTCTTGGACCTTCATTTCCTTCTTAGCCATTGTCTTGAAAGCTTTGTCTCTCCTATCCTCGAACATTCGTGTCCCTGCCGCCTCCTCAATCATGGCAAGAATTTCAACCGCTTTCATGTTCAACACTTTTGTAATTCGTCCTTGCATAATCAAGAAATTAGGGTTGTTGATATTGAGCTGAACGGATTGGAAAAGGTTTTGCACAGTTTGTTGTTGTGCTCGATGTCCATTTATAAGATATTTGCTGGTGCCTCCCAGGACAATTTGTCGAGTAACACTGATTTGAGCATATTCCTCAAATCCAATGGGCGATTTCTTCTTGTCTCGATTGTCGAAAACAATCGTCACACTAGCTTTCGTTACTCCGGCTTGTCCACGCTTGTATATTAGATCCTAAAGAGGCCCGTCAATACGTTTCATGCCCATGTGAGGGGCTATAATATACCTGAAGATTCTGCGCCCGAACTGTTGTCATATTCGTAATACCAAGAACAAAACATATTGAGTCGAGGATATTTGATTTACCACTACCATTCAGACCAGTAATCGAATTGAAACTCTCATCCCTAAATCAGATGTAAGAATATATACCAAAGAATCTTTCGTTTGCATTGTTTACCATCCTGAAATTACAGTACGCACAGCGTACGATTTGAAACCCTGGACATGAGTTAGTTAAGATATCAAAGGATTTAGGTGAGTTTATTTCATGAGACATACATCTATAATGACTTCTACTACCCTCATTATGGCGGTGTTGAGTCGTAATATCGTTGGTCGTAAGGTCGTAAATATTTATATTTTGATTTGCGCGTGAGAGTAAACAACATAATTTGGGTCCGCAGCAACCTCGGATTAATTGGTTCTTCCATTCCGTACCCCTCCTCATCCTTAAAGTTTATCCAGACCAGACCAGACCCAGAAGACTTTCATCAATAATCTGCACAATTTCGCATCACTCCAATAAAAATGCGCATAGAATTGACATTCTAGTTGATCAATAATAGTGTATATAACTATGAAGTGATAGGTGCGTTGATTAACAGTCGTGCAACAATTCCATATTCTACATGATTTACCACGGCATGATGAATCGAAGTGCATCTATTTTCTGGTTTATTTTGTGGTAGATCTAAGCTCACTGATCTCAGATATTCAACACTCACCGGAAAGATACATTCAGAACATTTTCACCAGCACCCACTCGCCAAAATTCAAGGAGAGTTTAAAAAGATAAGGTGAAGAGTGTAGTAGCCTGGAATCAGATACTGTAGTTTTCTTGTGAATTGCTTAACATAAGTCTGTTCAAGGGTTGCTTGGGCTGGAAGCTGCAGACACTGCAGTTGAATAAGAAGGGGGGGGGGGGTAGTACTATGTCCATGTTGGCAACGGTGATGGAGAAGACTATGGTAGGCCAACCACACGAACGCTCAAGCGAGCTGGATACATTCTAAGTCAGTGACAATAAATCTAAAATTATTTACAATTTTCTTTCTTCAGTTTTATATCATTTGTTATACTGTCTTCAGAACTCCATAAACTCTTCTACCAGGAATGCTTCGTCTGAAGCGTGGAAGATAGGTAGTGCCTCGGCTCATTGATGAATTGTGCATCAAGTATTCGCGTGCTTATAAAGCACGATTATCGAAACCTTCCTGATGTCTTTTGACCAGAACGCTTCGTACGTCAATTACCTATTATGCTCAGGGAATCTCTATCGAGCTTTCATGGAAAGGCTTTTCCAAAACATGAACCTATCACGCACTGGATAGAAGGTTTGTTTGGGCTGGTGGTAAAACTTCATTTTGAGGGACTCTTCTTATGGTAAGAACTGGGTCTGGGATCACACACACACACACACATATATATTAAGTTAGGTGAGGTCTCGAGGGCCATGTACAATGAGATCGTTTGAGCCTCCATATATGTACGGCAGATAGTCTCATGTGCGCTGAGTATATATGTGGGAAGGTAAGAATTGATATGAAGCTCAGATTACCCTTGATTTATTAGCACTAAGCGGACGATAAAGGGGAAAAGGTTGTCAGAAAGTTCGGGAGCACCTCTATTCCTGAAGATTCGCCAACCAAGGGAGTAGATGGGACTTCTAGGTAAATAGGCTACGGGTAGTGAAAGGTAAACGGGAGAACTCGGATTCTTCATGTGGTGCGTTGTAAGTGTATATCATTACTGCCCCCGATTATTATTCTTTCCATTCCCACGCAGAATACAATATCTCGAGTCAACATTTCAAATCATATACGATAAACACTACTTTACTTAATCATGGCGTGATAATACAAGTGAATATGTCGGCCATGGGTCCAAGATGCTATGACAAACAGTCAGTATCGATTATTCTAGTTATACTCCATACTCATAACACTGAATACTGACATTCCGAATCACATATCATTTCATACATGGTAATCATCGTAGTTCTCATGTTCATGGGCGTGGTTATTCATAGTCACCATGTGCATTTCGAATTAAAATCTAATAATGAATCAATATGTTCATTTCTATCATCCATCTGCCAATTGCCACTCGTGGAGGTAATTCTTGCCAATCATCATGCTTATTCGCAGTCGAACAAAGTCGAAAAACATACATCATGTTGTTTATTTCAGTCACTTGTAAGCCTATTTCTACTGATAAAAGATATTTTCCAATCACTATATCGATATTGGATCGAGAAGTAGCTGCTAGGAATCAGAATATCTCTTTCTCGTCATCAAATAAAGAGACTTCCAGTCACGATGAAATATTTTTCAAGCTATTATGCGTATTTGGAGTCAGAAGTTCAAACCCCGCGTCATATTGTCTAATTCCAGTCACTTGTGGCCTCTTACCATCAATGAATCTTATTCGCTGCAGTTATTGTGTTGAGGGGAGTCAAAACGTCTTTTTGGGAATCAAATTGACCATTTCTAGTCATAAAACGAGGATATTTTCAGTCATAACCTCTCTCAAACCTCGCCAAAGCAAGGACAAATGGGCTTAAGTAGGTTCGAAGCAATCTCCCTCCCTCCATTTCCAAAACCAACTCGAACACAAATATCCAAAGCAAAATAATCGAATACAAACACATCGAAACATCTATCAGAAGACCTCCAATACAAATTACTTGAACACAAACCTTGTCAAATCATTTACAAGTACACTCTGTCACCTCCATATCGCTCTCCAAATTACTTCCATATCATAACTTCATATTACCTCTCCACATCAAGCCAGTTACTAGATCCGACCATCACTACTCCGTCTCGGCCATATAGCTCGATATCAGACACCGGCTCAAAGCTCAGGCTATACATCACTACGTCAAGGCCCAACATACATCACTAACAACCCCAGAATAGCTGGATCGTCTACTCAGCCCTTTCTCGGCTTCAATTTTATTACCTACAGATCAAAACCATGCCGACCGATGATGAAAGATTAGAAGAAAAAAGGAGAAAAGAGACCAACAGAAAACAATCTTCCCGTGTGAACCAGGCTGCCAGAGAAACCCCTCAAGAAAAAGAAAAGAGAATGAATGAAACAAATAGAAAAGACGCTGAAAGAAGAAAAGCAAGAGGTCCCGAAGAAAACAAAAGGATAGATAGGCGAAAAAACCTACGTGCGAGAGAGAGAGAGAAAAACAGGTTAGAGGAGAAGAATAAAAAGGCGGCGGAAAGTTACGAGATCTACAATAGCAGCGAATTACTTACAAGCGACAATCGTTCTGTGGGCCCTGCACGCCCCGAAGGTCCTACTTATTCTGACCCCCCGAGACAAGATCATAATGCTACGTTTGCTATGACTAGTATGAGAAGTTCATTACCTCCGACTATCTCTACACAACTAGCAACCAGTCATCATCATTCATCGTCTATGAGCGATCCTCAACACTCAGTACATACCAGTTATCATCATTCATCGTCTATGGACAATTCTGAATACTCATTGTATCCCAGTTATCAAAAACCAATAGCGAACAGCAGATCTGACCTGTACTCTACAAGCTATCATAATTCTGGACCACGAATGAACAACAACGACAACAATCCCTCATTACTTGCAAGAGATCATTCAAAAGCTATGGAACTCTTTCACAACGAAGAATTCTCAAATTTGGTAGAAATGCCTATTCATCATCCTGCAAACCCTGTCGTGTATGAAAATACAGGATTCGCAGTATCGTTTCCGACCAACGAAGGCAGGTCCTCTTTGCCTGCGACCGACTTTGGTGTTGCACCGTCTAGACACGAAAATCACTACCTAGCGCCTGACGGATCCGAAAGCAGGGACAATCATGCGTCACCTACAATCGATTCACGTTCTGCATCGCCTAAAAACAAATCCTATTCCCAAGAGACTAGCAGATATAATCCCGCAGAATCTGGCAGACATCATTCCACAAGATCTGGCAGACATCATTCCACAAGATCTGGCAGACATCATTCCACAGGATCTGGCAGACATCATTCCACAGGATCTGGCAGACATACTTCCAGGCATCACACACCACCTGCGACCGTCTCAGACCCTGCACCGCCTGCACAAGGCTATAACTATCCAGTCAATACGACCAGTTATGCTTCTGGAGAACCCATAGAGGAATATGTGAATGCAAATGATGAAGAGCTCAGTGTACCGAATTCTGTGTTTCACGATCCTCAGCAATACAACCCAAGTCAACAATAGAGTCCCTTCCTTTGGATAACAGTACATCACTGGAGAAGAGTCAGGCTCTCGAGTTGCAAGTGATGTGAATTTTTTTGTTCCATTTGTTTTTGGAATGCCCTCCTCGTTTAGGAGATTAGGATTTAATTGGGTGTTGTGGATGAAATTTCGCGTTTCTGAATATCCTGTTGGTATGGATGGCATTTCATTTCCTTGGTTGTTTTTCGTTACCTCCCATTGAGGTTTTCTCAGAGAACCATCTGGCCCAAAAGCCCAGGGTGGTTATTGTTTCTCCCAGATATGCTCTCACTCATTCGAGATATCTGGCATTGTCATGGATTTTAGAAAAAAAGGTTTACTCAGCACTTGTTGTTAAATAGACTAGAATTGCAAACAAATTGCAGCCACTTGGCAGAAGAGTTATATTGCACATGAATGTGATGTCTTTGTGCCTATGATGTTCAACAGGAAGCAAATCGACTATTTACTTAGGGAAATTTCATTGCATGCTCTACTAACATTGATGTATTTGCAAGTCGACGATTATAAACAGTTTATAGACTTCTCAGACTTCACTTCACTCATTCATACATTATCAGCCTGTCAAGACCAGAAATTCATGAGCTATAATCTAATACTGTAAAAACGAACTTCGTAGAATTATATTAAGTCTAGCATCGTATTATATATCCAACAACCCTTATTTGTCAATCGACATTAGGAAGTTGGGGAAAACATTGGTCGATATTAACCTCTGAAGTGGAACGGGTTCTTGCTCGATTCGGTGCCGACCGAGGGGTGTGATAGGTTGCGGCCGAACTAGCAATGGAGGACCAATCGTCGAAGTCTTACCAGGCTCATGCCATGATCGTCGCTAAGTAACGTAAATGCCCCGGCAGTCTCCACGAAGTCTCCATTATTCTTTGCAAAACGACATGGGGTTTAAAGTACAGGATGTGAACGAACTAATCCAGCGGCAATTCAGGGCTAGTGGTAGAAATTGGTATACAATCGATCACATATCTTGAGAGGCTGCAATGGGGACAACTCGATTCTCAGATGTACGAAGTACTGCTTGAAATTACGAGTTGGCGTAAAAATCTTCTTGGTGTGATTTTGGACCGTTCGATAGGGCTGGAGCATTGTCGTAGAAAATCCATGGGAAATACTTCCACCAGTAGATTATTACTATTTGCCTTGCAAATCTATTAGGTGATGATCGTGCAATGTGGATAGGTAGATCAATTCTTTAGAGTAAATCCAGACCCAAAAGCTAGATCTTATGGGCCGACAAATGATGAACAGAAGAACATGAGGATGTGTCGGTCCAATTCTATATAATTAAAAAAAAAGTTGCGCTGCAAGTCTGACATTCTGACATCACACCAAGGAACTTGCCTTGGGAGAAGGACACATGGCACAATTAAGGATTCGCGGTGGAGTTAAAAGTATTCTAGTGCTTTGCCCGTGGAGCCGCCACCTTCACCATGTTGATGTGAGGATTCAGTCCAGCACCGAAAAGGTGGTACATCTGAGTCCAATGAGAAGTGGATTTTGACTGATTTTGACGCATTCGTATCGTATCGTATCGTACCGTACTCGTATTTGAACTTCAGAGTCCTCAGAATTGAGCTTCTGTGCATACCGTAAAAGCAGAATGATGATATGTTATATTGTGAGAGTGTGAGGATGCGAGGATGCGAGGATAAGACGGGGAGGGGAGCATAACCATTTCAAATAAGGTTGTGTGACACCGCTTTCATTCTTCAACCAATCCGGACATTTTGCCATGAATGCATTTAGCCTAAATGGACAATAAGAGACGAGACAAATTCGAGAATTCCCTTCACATCGCTCCCACCATCTCATCCACCTATCAAATATTACCGCAATTATGCCTAATTATCGGTTTTGGGATTTGTGTACATGTAAGATGGCTGGGGAACAATTCATGATTGTGGTTCGTCCCCCGAGTAGTACGGGGTTTATCAAACATAGCCATACTCCGTACGCAAAATGATCTACAAATTCTTCCACGGATAAATATCCAAAGCCTTCCGGAGCCCTGTTCGTCGCCTTCCTCTTTCATCCAATGCAGATCAACCTCGGTGTTGCGTGAAGCTAGAGCAGCAACAACATGCCACCATACTTCATGCTACATGGACCAGCAGGTGGGAAGTAGACATCTTCAAAGCATCAATCTCAATGGCAAGCACATACATCCGCATTTGAGCGCAACATTACGAGACGAGGTGTTTGATGATCTCAAGTCAAGGTTTGATAATCAAAACTAATGCCGCTTTCTCTTTCCCATACATTAAGTCATTGATCTAAATTCCAGCTCGGTATGCACTTGCGAAGGAATGAAGTCCCATCACCTTGGTTCGGGCATGATCGATTGTCGGCCCGTCCTTACCTGGTCGACTTCCTGCCACCAATTTACTGCTTTGGGGGAACACTCCGGCACTAGACAGCTTTTCCCAATTCCGAGACCAATAGAATTTTCTCATGGTAATTGTTCTCCGACGATGGAATTACATACTAGCTGAAATGTACAGGCACCATTGGCAGGTTGCAAAATACCTTTTACCCATCGATGCTGGTCAACACGCTTGAGAAATGCAGCGTGAGGTAAAAGAGCGACCTTTTATGTGGCTAAAAAACGTTGATGATGAGCTAAATGCATCGAATTACTGTCACCACTACCGGCACGGCACAGGGTTGTCCCGATCGTTGCCATCTGTTGCACCACTGCTAATCACATCGCCCGACTCCAAGCCGGACGCTATAAATTGAGTTCAATATTGATACCACCCTATTTGGAACATTACCCCGGCTCTCATTGAAGGTCTTTATGCACTCACTGAGCCTGATGTCCCGGCCCCTCATCATGTCTCTACCAAGTCCTAGGTTTTCTATATCCCGATCGATGTGTTGAGATTTTGAACTGGGATTCTTGGATTCTGGGATTCTGGGATATTGGGATTCGGGGATCCTGAGATTCTGGGATTCTGGGATTCTGGAACTCTGGAATTCTGGAATCCTATATTAGATCTTGATCCTTCGTGACTGTTGACCTAATAATATCTGTTTCCGGACAAGTAGAGGCCATGACCTACCAATTGTCGCCATGGTGACTGCTGCGAGTACGAGTCTAATAGTGCTGTGTGGAGCTCAAGTACTACGAGGGCGTCTTTCCATTGATTTGGCTCTGGATACTACTATGCATGCTTGGTTCATGCATCTAGGTGGTGGAATGGAAGCTGTTCTCCATTCTCTTAGTGCACGTCATGAAAAACCTTAAAAACACTCAACTCGGTGATTTCAAAGCTGCACGTTGAGGCATCCAAAAAACAACATCTGAAATTTTGGAACCCAAATATCTGTTGTTCTTCTTGACTGGTCTGACCCCCTGGACCTTGTCACCAGAACTTGCACAGACAGAAAATGTGGCGCTCCTTAAAATCATCTCCACATTGTACTGCAGCTCACCCACAATCCAAAACTCTCCTGTTCCTTATATTCCAAATCCACAAAAGAATTGCTACATACTTTCCTATGCACAGAAATTCTCATCTTGACCAACCCCACCCTAGATTGCAGCTCCCAGAATTTGGGTCTACGACGCATTATAGATTCTCACGAGATTATCGAGGCAGATGAGTGACCTTGTCTAGTCGTCACATCAGTAATCAAATCTCGAGATTGCAGCTGCTTCTGGACTCTAATCACCCACTTCCTGCTGTCAGGACTTACACGTATGCGACCTCCGGCAGATAAATTCCCCCTTTCTCTGATTATATTAACATTGGATATATTCCAGATCCTGACATCAGATCATATTATTCGTTGGACAACTAAAACCCCCCTCGCCTTGCTGCATCTCAATTCCGATGCGGCTAGCTAGGCTTGCATTTCCAGAAACCCTTCGATAGCTCTATGGATTAAGTTTTGTGTCATTTCATCTTATTTAAACTTTAATATCCACACCACATGACAAAAGAACTGTACACCGCAACCAGTTCCAAATCTATATTGCCAGACATCACCACGGAAGGGCACTGTGCATAAGCTGGGTACTTCCAGAACGGTCGAAACTTCAGCTATCCGTGTGCTCCATAAATGTATATGCTGATCCATTCATACATCATCGACTGCTGTACTTGAAGATTATACCCTTTACAGTCCCCACCAAGGTTGGAGTACCTCCGACAACTGCTCCAAATTCCACAATAGAGCAAATAGTTTGATGTAGAAGGTGCTTAGGAAACTACAACTTAACTTACATTCCGATCTATTTGAATTTTGTACGAAAGGTGCTGCTCGTAGCTCACCACGTCTCGTTATCATCATGGCTGGTACAGGTCGCCTAGACCTGTCTAAGCAATCAATACCGGGCCAGCATCTTCTTACACTCGAACGCGACCCTCATGCACAGCATTCTCAACAGTTCCTCAGTTCGGCCCGGTCCTATGCGGATCTGAACTATCTTTTTGGGGCCCAGGACATAGCGATGATTGGGACCATTCCGAAAACAAATCGACGAAAATCAAGCCAGGGAATCGAGCATGTGAAGCATCGTCGGACAAGATCTGGCTGTTATACTTGTCGTAGTAGACGAGTGAAGGTACTCATTTGGCAATTGCATTTTTTCAAAAAACGTGCGCTAACTTTCTAGTGTGACGAACACCGCCCAAAATGTGATAGTGAGATTATGAGCTTATATTTTGTAACATGCTGCTAACCTCAACATATAGGATGCACAAAAGGCAATCGAGAATGTGTATACCCAGATGTGCAGAAACCGGCAAAGGGTGCGGGAAACACTTCATCTAAAGTTGGGCAGTCAAAGCCATCAGAAAGCCCTGGTTCATCTGAAGATGAATACGAGGACCGAGACGTTGAGCGTCTGGAGGTTATTCGAGATGAAGATGAGGTCGAAAGCCAATCCAAGTATTCGAAAAATAGTTCGAACCTCAATGCCAGCGCACAAAGTTCGAATTCTTCCACTCGTATTAAAAGTGGCACAAGGCAAAGCTCAGAGACCCCGTCTTTGATACAAGAAACAGGCTCTTCTCCGACACCCTCAACTGAAGGCTCTATTGGGTATTCTTCATTTGAGCAATTTGGCAGTAGTCCTCAATTTTACGACCAGACATTCGCAAATGACTTGGGATCCGACAACTCGAGGAACAGCTGGTCGCATTTACCACCCGATCTACAATTTTACTTGACATATTATTGCCAAAATATCACCTTCATGCATTACAGCTTGAGGTCCAACAACGAGGGCTTCATTCACAAATTGTTATTGGATGTCGCCATCCGACATGAACCACTTCTCTACGCAGTGGTAGGGTTTTCAGCTTTCCAATATGCAGTAGAGAAACAAGAAGGCAAAATCCAAGACTTTCTACAGTACTACAATAAAGCAGTATCGTTGCTTCTAGTCTCACTAAAGAATGGTGCTCGACATACTACAGGTACAATTTTAGCTATCTTACAATTGGCAACGATCGAAGTATGTACCGCGAATGAATACTCCAGGATGACGTGCTGATTACTTATAGGAGTATCTTGGGGATTGGGCGAATCTTTTAGGCCATCAAAAGGCTGCATACGAAATATTGGTAGATCTATATTCCCCACAAACAATCTTTGAGACAGGTATAGGCCGCGCCATTTTCGGATGGTATACACGTTTCGATGTCATGGCTGGAATTATGGGTGGTTTTGATGCCTCGATCTCAAGAGAATGGTTTTCATATGCACAGGAATATTTCAAGAATCGAATCGCGCAAGAACCAGATAATCTAGTATGGAAATTGGAGCATCAGGCTTCAGCAATGCGTCTTGTAGGCAAAGAGATGTCGACGTTATTTGCGAAGCAAGGAAAAGGAGAAATCACTCATGAACAATTTATCTTTGAAAATGCAAAGATGACACAGCGTATGAAGGATTGGAAAGACAATATGGACCCAGCGCTGCTGGATAGTCGATATTTGGTCACAGATTTTCCCCCAGCACAGCCCGGGAGTCTATTTGATCCACGCATGCCAGGTGTACTTTATCGTGGGCCGCTTTGGGCGATTAACATAGATTCGATGGATCGGTATGCTGTAGCCTTGATGCATGGGCTGCATACTGCTCAGGCGATGCAGATGCCACCTGATTTTGAAGTTATGAACAGGTTATCCGAAGATTTATGTCAGATGTATGAGGCAATTTTGCATCATCCAGAGACACCAAAAGGGGCAGCCGTTGGCCTCCAAGGAGGTCTTGGTATTGCTGTGTTCTTTCTATCCAAAGATGAAGCATATAATATGTGGATGCGCCGAAAGTTGGCAACGATAGAGTCTCAGGGGTAATATGCACTTCTATTCACAGATTTTCTACTGCTAACACAATAATCAGGTTCATACAAACTTTCGCGTTCAGGAGCAAAATGGCAGAACTATTTCGAGATAATTCTTGCATGCATTGGTGGTTACCAAACGACGAACTATATCATCCAATAATTCGATCGATAAGAAAATTTGTCGAGGATCGAACCTCCTTGCCAAAGAACGCTGAGAGCAAAGACGTGCAGGACATGAAGGCGGTTTTCTCTGCTATGGATATTAGTGACCAGAGTGATAGCTCACCTCAAATGAGCAACAAGGGAAAGTCAGTATCCACGGATTTCGACGTAGCTAGCAGCTCGGGGTGGTCTCCTGCTCAGACAAGCAATGATTACAGTCAAAATGAATATGGGGGCGACTCTAGGAGCGAACAGTCTCCCTGGAACAATCAAACTGGGGGTTATTGATGAACAAGACGATTATTCGAAACCCAAACGTACCGTAGGGACTATCATAGATTGGAATGGCTGCGTGGTGTTCGTTCAAACGCCCGTCGTGATGCCACTTCAGAGTCAATCCAATAGTCCGACTCGAGGATATCGTCTTGAAACCATTACCTGAGGAAATTCAAGAGAAGAAGAAATAGGACAATTTACTAAGCTTTAGTACAGATTAGCGCAGTCGTAATGATCGCGTGGTTATAGTCCTCGAAGAGAGAGGACAGGAGCGGGGTCCCATTTCCCTAGGGTGAAGCAATGGTCATCAGATGCTACAGAGAAAGCATTGCCTGCACGGAGTATGCGATCGTATATCAATGCAACATGCGTGGTATAATCTGACAACCCAACAATGTCAAATCGAACACCAAAATTTTAATGAATTAATGAGCAACCATAGACCTTGACGTTGTGCGAAGTGAACAATAAAATAAACATTTGTATAGATGTCTCAAGATTTACTTTCATATACATGTGAGCACAAGGTTGTCTAGATTCCAATTTCAAGAAGCACTACTACCTAGGCAGGTATTTGATGGCAGCGTAAATACTAATTCAATCTTGAATTGAGTTTGCATGAAAAAGTTCTGTATTTTTTACATTATACACATATTGTCATTCTTCCATACTCCACGTCCGATGCATTGATGATCTCTAGACGATGTGATGGATTCTTGTAGTTGGTTCCTTGTAAGTTGTAACCGACCTTATCCAGAAGTAGACTACGGGGAGGCATGTGCCCATGCGCGCAATAAGGTTCCCCAAGCTTCATGAAATTCAATGGTTGATTGAACCAACGACTCTACTATCACAGCACATTCAAAAGCGCACAAGTTATCGTCCTAAGTCGGAAAATAATACGAAATAATTGATATCGGGAATCACAACATCGACCATGAATCGACCAGGTATGAGGCTCTCCAACTCCCTTTTCCACCCCACAACTGCCCCGCTGCACGGCTGCTAGAGAGAAGGGGGACAGCTTGCATTGGATGGTATTTCAAATGTGAGAGAATACCGGATGTCAGAAGGATAAGAGACCTAGCGGACCGCCAGCAGTGTATAGGCTCTCTAAGGCGTGGACTATGGATGGACCGCGGGAATATTGCACAAGCTCTGCATGAAGTTGGATTTTATGATCTAGATGGGATCGGATGAGAGAGCTTTCATGAAGGGGTAGTTGCTGCGTCTGCTGGCGTAGTTTGAAGGGGTGAAATCGAGATCTGACATCCGAAGGCGAAGAGAGTGTTCGTGTAGCTAGAAAGTGTTTGGGCGCATTAACCTGCAGCTATCATGGGGCTTTCATTGAACCTTCTGTAGCGGAGGGACTAGTCACGGAAATATGCTGACTTTGTTTTCTCAGGTGTAGGACCGCAGGCCATGCGTGGCATACCCAATGGATTCCCAAATCAACAGCAGATGCAGAACAGGAACGTATCAAATAGGATACCACCCAGTGGGAAAATGGGTACGATTCACACCCCTCATATTTGAAACAACAGGAGGAGACTTCATGTATACTGATGTTTGTCTATGATTTCTAGCAAACAATGGAGCGACGTGGGCATTTGGAGGTGTACCGATGGGAGGAGCAGGCCTAGGAAATCCACGCCCAAACAATGGACCTATGGCAAGCTTTGCACAAACAATAGGAGGATCTTCACAACCAGCTACACCACTAGATTTGTCGTAAGTTGTTGCCTTCTTTCGATTTTTGTACTCCCAGGTTTTTGTTGAGAGTATTTCTTCTTGCTCCAACCTTTCCCTCCTTCTCACAACAACTACTCAAATATGGGAAAAGCACGTTCATCAAGATATGGTGTCCCCCCACGCCCATATTCCCCTGGAAGGTATAAAAATTCAAACAATCTTCAAATGTGCACAGTCAGGTTCCATACGTTAGAGATACAATTCATAGTTCTGTCGCATTCAGTACAGATTATACTGTCTGCTTAAACCTGTCTGAGTTTCGTTATTTTCTTTCTCAGCACTACAAATCTTGACAGTTCACTTTGCTCACATCATTTAGTGAGTTTCCCTCACTATCAGGAAACCAGCCTCAGCACAATCAGTCAACATGGGGAGCGGCAGGAGCACGTAATATTGGCCCAGCAAATATACGGTTACAGCAATCAGCTGGATTATCCGCACAACATGCTGCGCAACAACAGCAACAAGACGAGCTCTTCAACTCATCAACTCAATTATCGAACAATTCGGGTGGGTTCAGATTTGGGGCACAAAACGCAGTTGGTCAGTCTTCCCAACCGAGAAGCGCAGATGATTTTCCACCTCTGGGAAATTCGAATGGAGAGATCGGCCAAGATCGAAGCTCTGGTCTATTACAAAATGTGGGGTTTGGAGCCAGTGGGGGATTAGGATTTGGTTCTAATAACCCACCACAGCAACAGCAAGCCAGGAGTAATGGCCTTTTAAGTGCATTATCTACTGGTGGCCGAGTGGCACCAGGCAATAGAATTGATTCACCAGCAAGTTTGTCAGGTGAGTAAATTGCCAATGTTGATTGGGTGATATATTATTGACCTGCTCGGCTAATCTTATATTTTATTCAGGCCCATCCACGAATAGATCCCCAATAGACTCCAGCCGGCAAGGTCTACCACGCCTTGGAGAGAATGAAGTCGGGGTATGTCAAAGAATCCCTCTAATGTATTGAGCTTCTGCTGATCAAATTGTGTAGAGCTTTCCAGACACTAATTTTGGCTCGTCAAATCCAATACCACTTAGAGAAGACGATAATCAACAATTTAATATGCCTACAGCAACGAACTCTCGACCAGATGGCCCATCAACCCTAACTCAAGCACAAGAACTCGACCCTAGTTCTCTATCAAGAAGTGCTGATAACGCGGACTCTAAAGTACAAGATCCATTAGCTCACATGAGTGATGCCGACAGATTTGGACTAAAGGGATTTTCCTACATGATGAACAATTTTCCCGACTATGCTGCTCTTGTCACTGGAACCGATATCAGCCATCTGGGCCTCGATCTAAATTCTGAGCAGTGAGTATTGGTTGGATAGATTTCCGCCGTTCAAACTCAACATTTTAGCCATGCTAACAATTCACAAGACCTATCTCAAACCAAATCTACTCTTTATGGGACAACGAGCCCCCACGACCAGATGTCGCTCGTTTCAACCTCCCTGAATGTTATCGCGTTCTTAATGTTGCTCCTCTCGAAAGCAAGATGCCTAATTTCAACGAAGAAGCCTTATTGTTTATGTTCTACAGTAATCCGGGTGACAAGCAGCAGCTTATGGCAGCAAGGGAGCTGTAAGTAAAGTACCTTTCCATCGCAATTCATTTACTAATACAATTGTTGCTTGATAGTGGCAATAGGAATTGGCGTTATCATAAAAAGATGCAAGTTTGGCTTACCAAGGATGATTTGATGGTTCCTCGTCAACTTACCCAACAGATGGAGCAAGGCTACTACATCTTTTTCGATGTAAAGACTTGGTCAAGACAACGAGTAAGTATCGAGATATTATTATCCCAGTATGTTTCACTGACTTTATTGTAGCGGGAATTCACATTGTCTTATGATGATTTGGAAAGAGTCGAAGATCGGTTTTAATTTATCCAATACAACCCATGGTCAAATTCGGTCTCTTTTTCTCGATTGGCAGAATCATGCATTTTTATGAATACCGCACCTATCGATCAAAATAACATGAATAATTTCACACGGCTGAATAAATAGTATCCTCGTTTCTCTAATTAATGGCACAAGACTTGTATTTGCTACGGGGCATATATGGGGCTTGGCTTTCTTTTTTAGCGGAGTACATAGGAGGGAATAACTTGCTCTGGCTGCTGGACTCTTTTATGACTGGCTGGCGTTTCGATTGTGGAGCTGTGCAAAAACTCGCTGGATTGGGGACGGTTGCGGGTATGATGGGCAGAGAGAGGGATCTGACGTAGCAATTAAATGGATTGTACGTTGCCTCATCTTATACTACTTTGTGATGTGATACCGAGTGAATTGAATATTTCTTGATGTTGATACGCGGTGACTATGGTGCGACAAAAATGACAAGATTCTTAGTATTTAGTCTAGACATTCTCATCAGAATTGATGTCGATTGAATCAGTTCTCCAAAGAACTCACAATCAAGTCATACGCAATACACACAGGTACTAGAAAATCTCAAAATCTCTTCATTATGATCATTACATACAAAGTCCAATAATCAAGCTACATACAATACAATAAAATACAGTTCGAAGAAGAAGAAATTATATACACGAAAACATGAGCCAAAGACCTCCGAGACTACTTTTGACTTTCAAGACTTTAAAACCTCAAGTCGAGCCTCCAGGGCATATCCATTATCCATTAACACATCATATCATATCCTCCCGGCAATACATTCCTCCTCCACCTCCACCGTCCTCACCACATCAATATGTATATCCCAACCCCCTTCCTTTTCCTTCCGCCCCGATTCCTCCGAGAGAGACAAATAGAGATCATCATTTTCTCTATCCTGGTTCCTCGATCGATTTCGCGAGCGATCGCCGCCGAGCGATAATTTGTCCCGTCGCACGGAGCCCAGGATATTGCGTCCTAGGTTCGCGATATTATGGGTGCTGCTGGAGACTGGATTGCTGTTTAGTGGGGATATCACGGATGCGGTGCCGATGTGCATTTCCTCGTCGGAGATTATCGGGCATGTGCTGCTTGTTTTGCTCAAATTGCTAGAGCGGTTTGTGTAGGTGCCGAGTTCGAAAATGCTCGTTCCGACGGTTTGGTCGAGGTCGGTGTCGTTATCGTATTGGGTGTCTTCTTCGCGTCCGTTTAGGGGGATTTGGGAGCTTTGACTGCTGAGGACTTTGGAATTGGAGTTTGAACGTGATTTTGAGTTGGGGAGAGAGTTTGTGGATTTGGAGGTCGATGTGATGCCGAAACCGGAAGGTGGGACTGGGATGCTCTTGAAAATATTTGGGGCACTGAAAGAAGATTGGGAGGGGCGAGAGAGATGTGAGTTAAAGATTTTGGGAATGTAGGTTGCGAAAAAGACTTTTGTGGCGGGGATGGAGGTGCATATCTAGTTAGGAAGTGTTAGGACCCGGCGTTTTAGAAAGTGGGAGAATGGGGAGCATAGAGTGACTTACAATTCCAACATATAATTCTACAGCTGCGGAAACCCATACGGGGAAAGAAGCCCATACTTGATCATATGTTTGTGTTACTTGGTACATGTAGTATGTACGAATGACACCTGCAAAACATGATAGGAAACCGAGAGTGAAGAGGAAAGAGACGATGAGAGTTTGACGACGTGGGAGATTTGTCGAGTACTATTTTCTTATAGTTAGAATTTGGGTTGTGGATGAGAGGGATGAGATGACTAACCACTGTACGGATGGGAAGGATAACCACGAGAAAGTCTGTAAGAGTGTTGACGATTCCGGCAAGAAGGAGTGTTGAAGATTGATCTATGCAATTCGGTTGGGGCTCGTCTGTTATTTTCCAGTAATCCTGCGGGGGTCTATGACGTGTTAGTATGTACATCATTGCACATCTCGACACTTGCCCCCCGTTGGCATATCAAACATAAGGAAAAAGCAATGATATTAACTAACCTACATTGAAACACCAACACGATACAAAACAAGGCTCCTTGTAAGCCGACTATACAAATAGCAGCTAGAGTCACCCGTCTCCAGAATATCGTGGCACTGGTTAACATGCGACGAACAAGCATTAACATGGATAATTTGGTGAAGGTGCATGCTGATGCAAACATGATCTCTATCAAGAGGACCATCTTCAGTCCAAATTCTACATGTGAGCTTGGGATGTCGTACTAGATAATTGTTAGTGATGGTTATAGAGAAGGGTTTGTGTGGTGAGAGGGATGCATACTTGATGTCTGGTCCACATGAATTTCAAATCTGCCAGCAGACTCAGAACAAAGAACCCGGTTGTGGGAATCTACATCATCATGACATTAGCATTTCCAATCGTATAATATCGTATCCATATCCATCTTCCTTGCATGTGCAGACTCTGGTCCGGATAATAGGTAAGACCAACCATAGCAAACAGGATCATCATATCATCCGCCCCAAACGAAGCCCGCAGTCTTGTCCTCGTCCATATCCTCAGTGAAATAAAGCAACATAGGACTACGTATAACACGATATTCAGAATAACATTCCCCCATCCGTGTGTTTCTGGATCGACGTAATTGGGCTCAGGCCAAGCGGCTATTACCCAGGCGGGAGGTTTTTGCATGTTGCAAGTGGTCTCTGCGACTTCAGACGTAAAAAAAACTCGTTGGAGATCGAAAGGAAAGGAAGATATAATGTAGATCCAAAAAAAGATTGCGAAAGATTGTGGAGTGAATGAGACACTACTAGCTTCCTAGTATTCAATAGATAACGGGAAGGGTTCAAAAGAAAGTAAGATGCATCTCATATCAATACGTCAAGCAAAGACAAAGATGTATGTGCAAATAGGACCAGTATTAACCAGTAAGAGAAATTAGAGACAGCAATCAGCAAAAGTAAGAACGAGAAGAGAAAGAGAGAGAAAGTAGACTTTTCAAAGAGGGTACTACAGCGATTAAAACCGAACGGTTTGCGGTTAAGCATTCTCGCTGTGACCAGCCTCAAATCCATGAAAAGCGCATCGCATCTTTTCCACTTAGACCAGTCCTGCAATTCCTCTTCTTACTAAGTTACCACATCTACGGAGTACGACCTTGCCGTGCCGCTGATATGGAACTATCATTGGCCACTTGGAGGCCATGAGGAAGAACATGCGGAGAATCCTTACAATCTTATCTTTCATCCAATCCAGATGCAGAATGAGAACTCTCAAACGATGGATCATGGGAGTAGGTATCTTGGACATCTCCGATGGATGGGATAATTTATAATAAAGACTCCGTGCAGAATTCGGGTGGATGTCGCACATGCACCAGTGGCGATGCAAACAGCAATTACACAGACACAAATATATAGCAGCCCCTGCTTCCCCCGCTGGCTTTGTATGCCTCTGACTCTAGACTCTAGAGCATCAAGGCCTCGGGTTTGATACCACATGGGATGGGAGAATGGCTCGATTTTGATCATAAGCTTCACACTATTGAGGACATTTTTCGGTCAGTGGCTCAGAAAGTATTTGAGACTTGAGATGAAAGGGAGATTGTGATAGGCAGTGATTTTAGCGACGCCTAGTCCATCTCGGAAAAAAAGGTTGAAAGAGAACATCAAAATGTTTAAGTGCTATGTCTGTGTGTCTGCGCTATTGAAGGCTCTCGGACTAAAACTTTCAATAATGACTCGAGAGAAAAACGTGGTGTCGTACATGTGGATTTGATTCAAATCGTGGCTTTACAATGCGGTCCTGATTACCCTAGTGTTTTACATCTTCACTTGTAGTCTTGGGCTACATTTCAATATTCAGGTTCAAGGAAGGTATTTTGGCTCAAAAGCATCTCGCGTGATTGTTTTTTTCATACTTGCGGTCAAAACAGTTCTGATAGTGAAGAAGAGTTCATAAAATCCATAAGCCATGACCAATAAAGGCGAGGAAACAATGATACCCCATTACATATAACCACCCTTTCATAAATGTCGATATATCTATGAAGCTTTCTTTGCGAACTCGACTCGTAAAATCAAATGCTTGAAACCATAACCATCCATTTTTTCGCAAGCCTTTGCAGCATCTGATCTTTCCTGGAAACTAATAAATGCAAAGCCCTTTGCCAAACCAGTTTCTCGGTCCTTCGCCAAAAAGACTCTTGTGACTCTGCCGAAACGTTCGAACATATCCCGAAGTTCTTGTTCCTCGGCCATTTCTGAGACCTATTCTGTGGATTAGCGAAGGAGATTAGATTAATGGGACATAGGAAACTTACGTTAGTGACACGTAGAGTAGCCAAATCATCTCTCTCGAACTTGCCGCCACCCATTCTCTCACCACCAGCGGTGCCGCCATTTCTGAGATGAGGTGGTACGTATGAAGATTTGCCAGCACCAAGACCACCTGGACCCTCTGGAGTATCTGCGTGACCAGCTGCAACATCGACTGCTCCCTCCTCGCCCAAAGGTGCCATTGTGCCTTTGAAAGGACACTTAGCTGTGAAATGCTCTCCGCTACAAATACGACATTTGACTTGCTTGTCCTTCAACTTGTTCTTCATAGCTCCGGCATCCGAAACCTCCTCCTTGGCGTCCTTTCTCCAGTTTGTGCTTGGTCTGAATATAATGTTCTCTCCTACACTGGTTGTATCCGAGGCAGGCTGAAGTTACGAATCAGTCAACATTCCCCCCTAGATTGGAACCCTTTTGAACTCACCCCTGCAGCATCCTTTTGGGATAATCCGAATTTGCTCCAGGACTTTCTCTCAGCAACTCTTGGGTTCACAATTTCCTTGACTTTCGTGAATCTGATGCGGCGAGTAGTCTTGACCTTCTTTCCATCATCGTTGAATCTCCAGGTTACAATTGTTTGTGTGCCATCTTTATTGGTAGTGGTGGTTGACTGTGGAAGCTCGTTAGAATCCTCGAGATCCTCATCGTCGGCCCAATCGCGATTACTATGGTATTTGTTAGATTTTGCTGAGGCTTGGTTAAAAATGCCGAATTTTCTCACTTTGCGACTCTAGACATTTTTTTGATAGGTGTGCTTTTTGCCTTTGTAGGGTGATGTAATGCGCTTGTTACGACCCCAAGATACGAGCCTTTTGCTGTATCAAGCTCCCTTAATTATCTCTGCTAAAATTCGATGGCAGAGTGGTTGATCGTGACTTCGATTGTGGGGTGGTTCGATGTTCAACGTGAAGTTCTTATTTAAAATATCGCTTTGAGTGGGTGGGCAAATTTGCTAGGGCGAGCTTTCGTTATCCAATAATTGATCTAACCGTTTCCGGCACTAGCGGGGTAACGTACAGCCTTGTCTTGCTCCCGTCGCACCCTTTCAAGGCTTCAATACTTTCAAAGCATTCCACCAACTGTCTTTTGACTCATCTGAAAAGATTCCATTTAACCTGATAAATAACGGTCTTATGAGAGTAGTAAGATCATTGAGGTAATTGTGGCAAGTTTTATGGTACAAACTTTCACTTCGTTTTGAAGAAACTCAACTTCATTGAGTACTAGGTAGGCAATTCAAATAGTTCAGTGAGCCAGTCAGTCATAAGGATGGATCGTATGCTACCTATTGTCAAGTTGTTAACCACCCCAGGGTTCTCAAAAGAAATGTGAAACTACTCTCAAGTTTAGACGATTGAGGAATTCATCATCGTATTCATGTACTATGGATATCTTTTCATATTTGTGACACACCCGAGAGAGGCCTGCGAATGAGCTTTTGGCAAAGTCAAATAACAGTTTGAAGTAGAGTACGAAAGAGTCATCAATGTCACATGTAATTAGATGTTGGGATGGTTGAATTGAATCATGAGAGGGGATGTCATATTATTCGTCGTCTTATCCTAATTTTTATACACAGCTAGAGTAATGCCATTTTCCGTAATTTTGCCTCATAACACATTCCCTGAACGCTTAAATCTAGCGAACAGTATTGGTAGCTCCAACGCCTTTTGTCCCAAAGCTATGAAGAGTAAAAAAAAGAGTATTTATGACAAGGGAAATTGTTGCCTATATGCAACATATGAGTACAAAAATACAATGAACAGTTGTTCTATGTGTGCCCCTGGATATCGCTAAAAAGAGTTGAGATGAAATATGCCCATATTAATGTTTTCAAGGCTTCTTCTCGCCATCCTTAGCCTCGCCTTCTGATGCGCTGCCCTCGGTACCTTCTGGCTTGGCCTCACCGGACTCGGCGCGGGCCTTGTGCATCTTGTCGAAAAGGTTCAAGCTAGCCATTTGGAGCTCGTCGGTCTTCTCCTTCAACTCGGCAGCAGTAGCAGTACCTTCTCCGGACTGGCTCTTGCTGACGAACTCACGGAGTGCGGTAATCTTCTCACGAATACCATCAGCCTCGGTCTTGTCAAGTCTGTCGGCGAATTCATTCAAAGCCTTCTCGGTATCGTTAAGAACACTGTCAGATCGGTTGGCAGCCTCAATAGCGGCCTTACGCTCCTTATCAGACTCGGCATATCTCTCAGAGTCATCAACCATGTTTTGAATCTCAGCATCAGAAAGACCAGAGCCGGAGGCAATGGTGATGGAGTGATCCTTGTTGGTTGACTTGTCCTTGGCGTGGACATGGACGATAGCGTCGGCATCAATGTCAAAAGTGACCTCAATTTGAGGAACACCTCTGTGAGCAGGTGGGATACCAACAAGTTGGAAGTTTCCGAGCATCTTGTTGTCGCGGACAAGCTCACGCTCACCTTGGTAAACCTTGATCTCGACAGCAGTTTGGAAATCGGCGGCGGTAGAGAAGATTTGAGACTTCTTGGTAGGGATTGTAGTGTTTCGGTTAATCAATCTGGTGAATACACCTCCGAGGGTCTCAATACCAAGAGACAATGGAGTAACATCCAAGAGAAGGACGTCGGTAACGTTACCAGCAAGAACACCACCTTGAATAGCGGCACCCATGGCAACAGCCTCATCTGGGTTGACAGACTTGGCGGGGTCACGACCAAAGATGGACTTGACTGACTCGCTGACCTTTGGCATACGGGTCATTCCACCAACCAAGATAACTTCTTGAATATCCTTGGCGGCGAGGTTGGCATCCTTCAAAGCCTTTCTTACTGGCTCGATAGTGCGGGTGATCAATGGATCGACGAGCTTCTCGAGTTGAGATCTAGAAAGCTTTTGGTTAATGTGCTTTGGTCCAGAAGAGTCGGCAGTGATGAAAGGAAGGTTGATATCAGTTTGCATGGAGGAAGATAACTCGATCTTAGCCTTCTCAGCAGCTTCACGGATACGTTGAATGGCCATACGATCACCGGAGAGATCGATGCCGGAATCCTTCTTGAATTGTTGAACCAAGTGGCGAACCAAGTGGATATCGAAATCTTCTCCTCCCAAGTGAGTATCTCCGTTGGTAGACTTGACTTCGAAAACACCCTTTTGAATCTCGAGGACAGAGATATCGAAAGTACCTCCACCCAAATCGTAGACAGCGATGATCTTGTCCTCATCCTTCTCCAATCCGTAGGCAAGAGCGGCAGCAGTTGGCTCGTTGACAACTCTGAGAACGTTCAAACCAGCAATTTGACCAGCATCCTTGGTGGCTTGACGTTGGGAATCGTTGAAGTAGGCTGGAACGGTAACAACGGCATTTTGAACAGGCTTAGTAAGGTAGGCCTCGGCGGTTTCCTTCATCTTTTGCAAGACGAATCCACCAATCTGCGATGGAGAGTATTTCTCGCCGCGAGCAGAAACCCAGGCGTCACCGTTTGTGTGTTGAACGATCTTGTATGGAACCTCCTTGATATCACGTTGAACCTCAGCGTCAGTGAACTTTCGTCCAATCAAACGCTTTGTTGCGAACAATGTGTTCTCTGGGTTGACAACAGCTTGACGCTTTGCAGATACACCGACCAATCTCTCACCATCTTGTGCGAAAGCTACAACGGATGGAGTTGTACGGGCACCTAGGAATCGAGTTAGTGCGGGGTCAACAGCAGTGAAATTGGAAGGTAGTAATTACCTTCTGAGTTCTCGATAATCTTAGCAGTTTGTCCTTCCATCACAGCAACCGCTGAGTTAGTGGTACCTGTTGAGAGATTAGTATGCGATTCGAAAAAGCTTGCTTGCCACTGCGTGGAATATACATACCCAAATCAATACCAATGACTGGTCCCTTGACCTTCTTATCCGCATCATCTGAGTTCCATCGTCTGGTAAACGATGATCCTAATGGTGTGCGGAGAGGTGCTGTGCGTGTGACGGATGAAGTTGCTCTTGGAAGCTATTGAGCAAGAAAAGTTAGCTATAATGTCATAGTAGTTACTCTGCATCAATTCGAAAACTTACAGCTCTGGAAATTCTGGAAGCAAACATCTTTATTTTTATTGCTTCTATGATAAAGGAAACTCAATTGTAGAAGTAATATGAATTAAGTATGAGAAGAAGGAATAGGTAGAAAAAAGGTATAAGTAGAGGATTTACAAGATTGAGGCGATGGAGGGAGAAAATATAAATCAACGGCGGGCCACAAGGAAAAAAATGTCATTTTTAGTTTTAGCGTCTTTTTCTTGGTCAATTGGTAGAACATCATCGAAACCACAAGCACGTGATTGAGCGCAAGGACGCTCGGACCCATTCGATGTGGCAAGGATTATGAGGTTATCAGGCTATCGAATGTGTGCTTATGTCATTATCCACTCAGAATGCGGGATACGATTAGTTGCCGAAACTAGTGAACTTGACGTCGTGAAATGAATATTGTAACTTTGAGCTTGACATTTATCAATCACAACATCTGTTTCTGTATCTCCTCAATACACTTTACAGTTTGGAAAGCTTCAAATCATCCCTTTCATCAAAAGAACAGGAGTCTTTTGAAAGACCACATATGGGTGCATAAATAATATTCAGTATCTTCACAGTTTAATCGCAGCCTGTTACTTAAATACTTTGTTTATATCCTGTTGTGCATGGTTGCAATATCTTGAATGCATGGCAGTATGGCTGTCAAAGAAGAAAGCTCGTGAGTCTGTACAACGTAATGCTTGTTATAACTACTCAGTTCTGATTTACATTCTGATCACTTGTGCTTTGATAGATATCACCCTACTGACGACTTAATTCGATCGTCGCCACGGAAATACTATCGAGCCTCCATTAGCCCAAGGTACGGAAGATGCCTTACTGTGCGCATTCATGTTCGAAACAGATCCAAAGATGTAGAAGTTCATTCATTCCTGCAGAATTCTTGATGACTTCTATCAACTACTGCTTCTTATGAAAAATCAGTCGGAAATACATTGCCTTCCATAGCAGTTGCTGGTGTCTGCCGAATAGAATGACGCGGTTTCTAACTTTTTATAGTCATTGGCAATTGCACGATTTGCTGAGCTCTCCGAAACAGCATGTTGTTTACTATCCGAGTTCGCACGACATAATTTGTCTTAATACAAAATCTCGTGAGCGCGAGCTTCTCGCAACTCTAAAATACGAGCCGCGATGTTTGACGGCCGCAAAGGATTGGGTATGCGCCGGAGGAGATAGAGGTCAATTCACAAGCTTTTATGTGGGAGAAGGAGAGAGACCTGGCAAGACTGATTCGCTTTTGGATTTGAGTGCTGATGCCGATGCTCGATTACCTCTCATCCTACAACCGTCAGCAAGATCAACTCAAAGAGAAACCACCGATGATTCCCGAAGATCTAGTCCTGATGCAACTACCTCGGATGTGTCCAAGAAGATAGGTTCTGACGTGGTGAACTGTATAACACTTTGGTTCCCTTCAGAAACATCGTTGCCCATGGGATACAAGGAACCTGTTGCTGTTGCAGCGCTCAACGATAGCTCTGTTGCTATTCTTAACTTACATGACTCCGAGATGGTGGATACTCTCACTTATCCTGATTATGTGAATCGCGCTGTAATATCACCGAAAGGAAACATCCTCATTGCAATGTATGCTCCTCAGGTTCACTTGACGTTGACACTTTATTAATTTGAAATAGTTGCGATGATCCATTCCTCTATATCCACAAAAGGCAGCAGAAACAGGTCTCCAAAACTCATTTTACGTCGCATGTGAATGAGGAGTATGAGTGGATATTTTCTGGCAGGATTCAGCTCGAAGGACAACGACCATCGGACAAAAGTGCCATGAGAGGTTCGTTTGCAGCATGCTTTTCTAATTCGGGCAAGTATCTTGCTGTGGCCACTCAATATGGAGTTATATCGATTTTCTTAACTGAAAGACTAATTAAAGACGATGTCGATCCATTGGAGGTTACTTTTACTACATCACGACCTAATGTTGAATCTGGGGCTGTTAGAGCCATGGAATTCTCGCCAAATAACTTTGATCTACTCGCTTGGACTGAAGCTAGTGGACGTGTTGGAGTGGCAGATGTCCGGGATTTGTTCACTTCCAGGCAAGTAATCGATATAAATGCTCGAGGGGAGGGCGTTGAGCGAGTCTGGGTTATTGAGCGCTCAAATAATCCTATGTCAATAGAGGCTAGGGTAGATGCAAGGCTTCGTGCTTCTCATACAGAGTCACCTTCTGAGGCTTCTGCCAGCGCAATACCAGACTATCTAGGCTTGGATTTTGATCAACATCAGCAAAGGAGCCTTGCCCGCAATTTAAGTGACAGACACCAACTTCCGCCAACTGCTGATGAGATGGAAATATTACAGGCACATCGAACAGCTCGTCGACAAAGGGATGCAGCCCGTGAGGCGCGAGAAACGGGAACCACTTCTAGATGGGGTATTTTGGAAGGAGGTAGAATGACAGACATTTTCGCTGACACAGAACGTCGCATATCCACAGCTGGTCTCCCAAGTGCTTTACGAGAATTTGTTAATTCAGACCGCACACCGGCTTCCTTTCGAGCCTTCATCGATAGACAGAATCAGGACCGTGAAAGGCGTGTGGTAGAGAACGAGATAAGGAATGTGATCAGGCGACAACAAGCATCATCAGTATTAGACAATACCACCGTAGATGTCGAGTCTGACAGAACCGTACGGACAAGTGCAGATACCTTTTCTGGGTTAGAGCGTCTGTCACTCGCTCCTCGTCTCCCAACCATTGGATATGAAGCAGCCCCTAATGCTTGGGCTGAACTTGAAGAAGTGTATCGAACACGGTACTCTCGAGATCAACTTGACGATGAAGAGGAAGAAAATCAAGCATCCGCTCAAAGATTAAGACAGCTATGGCGTCCCTTGGATGCGCTCACTAGACTTAGTCTTGACGTGAGGAACGATAGTAATGTATTGAGAAGAGAGCGAGAGGGTAGAAGTGAGCCAGTTGACACCATGGGGCTCGCTTGGAGCGAGGATAGTAGGCTACTGTATGTGCTTTTGTATACTTTTTATATTCACAATGCTGACCATTCATAGATACGTTGGTGCCGGAGATGGAATTCATGAGTATCAGGTGAATGTGGCGGGACGAAAAATATTTCCTCATCGTGTATTACAATAGTTGTATATTGAATGAAATTTGGAAGGTCGTTTTGGGAAGTGGGAGGGGATCGGAGTCTGGAAATTTATTGGCATGGCGCATACCAGAATGTCCATGAAGTGATTTGCTTACCTACAAAATCTGACTCTTGAAAGTCTTTTATCGAATTAATAATAATATATACAAAATCTCAGTCCATCTATTAATTATCTCAGTTTCTCAGTTATGAAAGCGCACCAACCAAAGAAGGCAAGCATCCCGAATATGCTTGATCAAAGGTCATGTGACATGGTACTGCCTAAACTAAACTGATTTGAGCTTCACATGCTTGTCTAGCTGCCCTTGGTGCCTTGAACTGTGTTCCAGTTTTAGAAAAATGCATACCTGGTACCTATGATATATGATATTGACAAATCGACTGATACATGTCTTTCTGGGTATAGGTATAGGTATAAGTATAAGTATAAAAGCTTTGTGTTAACCTAAATTTGTATCGTTGATTTGCTAAAATTTATCTTCTCTTCCAACTTCTCCCCCTCTTTAAACTATTAAACGAGAACGGCACCATCAATCATGGAAATTGATGCTCTTCAAGTCAATCAACCAGGATTGCTGCTTGGGAATCAGGAGTCCACTGTCTGTTTTGCGATCCAAAGCTATTTACACGCGCTCAAAGTACCAAGCCAGCCAAGCTTCTGGAAAATAGCCAACGAGACTAATCATAAAGTGTAGAATCGATTCCAAGATGAGCCACAGATTTATGAACAATTCATAGGAATTATTCAGAATTTTCATGAAGATGAGGAAATGTTACGCGAAGATCTTGAGGCGACCGTTGGAGAGATTTTGCAAGGCCATGATGATCTAATTCAAGAGTATCAGCGCGTCCGCATACTTTTCGATGCACGAGAAGATTTCGAGCTGGCCAGAGAAGAAGTCGAGGAGCAGGAAAAAGAAACGCGTCGGATAATCGCAAGTGCGGAAAGACAAGCTGCGCATGTACGAGCGTGCGAGGCGCAGAGTGATTCCCCGCTCCTGCGTCTCCCGAGGGAAATCAGAGATGCGATTTGGAATGAGGTCGTGCGGGGAAATATAGTGCATATTTCCCGGATTGACGGTGTTGATGCGTCGTCGTCGTCGTCGGCGTCGACATCGTTTCAGTACCATTCGTGCGTGGCGACTACGGGACTCAAAAGCTCGGCCTGTCCGGCGGGAGAGGGGGATCATGCGCTGTGTGCGAGAAGCAGGCGCTCGGATTTTCCTTCCTATCGTTTGGTGTGCAGACAGATGAATCTGGAACTTCCGGAGGCGAGAGCAACGTTTTTTGCGAAAAATGCGCTGCATTTTGATAATGTGGAGGATGCGGAGGAGTTTCTTTTCGGATTGAAGGAGTGCGATCGTGCGGCTATCACGCACATCAGATTACCGGTTTCGTATTGGTTGGCAATGAAAGATCATGATGAGGGAAGAAGGGAGTTTAGAGCTTGGGAAGCGATTATGAATTATTTTAGTTGTCCTTGGGCTCGAGAAACGGTATGCGGTTTTTTTTTCCTTCTTCGATTTCCGGGGGTTGTGTGGATTGTTGGAGCTGTGAATACTGATTTACTTCCTCATCTTAGCTCCATCTAAATGAAGACGACTCACGGTTCTTGAAAGAACCATGGTTCTTTTACTATTCCTCCTGTTATTACCACGAAAACAGGGATCGCATGTACAAAAAATGGCAAGTCGGATTCGGTAACACAAGTTGGGATATAGATATTGCATCTCTCCGCTACAAAGGCGAGCCCAGAATCGATATCGGGATGAGCTATCCAGAATCCGGTAAGTTATTTTCTTCATCTCCTCATTTGGATATCTCTTTTTGCCCCATTCGTCAACCGACCCCCCACCTTCCCTCCAATTAACTAACTAGCTAAACATCCCCCTCCCCTCTAGCACAAAGCACCCTCTTCCGTCTGCGTCCTCGCAACCACATCCCCTTCTCAACACAGTTCGACAATCCCCCACCATGGCTCCGCTCTCTCCTCCAATTCCGCCAATACTCCGGGTTGAATTTCCATTTCTGGGCCTCCGAACCCACTTCTAAAGAGTATGGAATTCTGCGCGTTCCTCGACACGAAGCGTTTATCGAAGCCTTGCAGGAACAAGTCTCGCGCTCGGAAATTGGTCCCTGGAAACTCGTAGAGTTTAGACAGAAGCCGTTTGGAAATCCGGATAGGGCGTCGTTGAGGAACTTGTAGGTGCATGTAGGGAGAGTGGTTTGGATGATGTAATGTCACTTGCTTTCATAGCTAGAGATTTGAATGGTTGTGAATTGTGTGGAAAACTGTGCATGTCTTCTTCTGTCAAAAAAGAAAAGATAAAACCTCCCCGATTCCTATACATTCAAATGGGTATTAATTTCCTTAACAACTTCCATCCCATTTCTCGCTTGATATCTCATCCTCGCTTCATCGTGAGATTTTAATATTTCCTCCACATTTCCGCCACGTTTCCTTCATTATCAACCAGTATCCCTCCCAACTTGAACACTCACTCTCCCATTCCCTATTAATCCATAACCCCAAATCCACCTCCAACCATCAACACACCCCAAACCATCCACGCTCCCCCAACTCTCATTCTCTCCGCACCACCCTCGCTAATCGTACTCGGTGCACTCGTTCCTATCGCTGTTCCCGTCACCGCCCTCGAACTACTCGTCCTCGACATCGTCGATGCTGTAGTACTACCACTACTACCACCACCACTAACACCCGTCCCCCCCAACAACGACGACAAACTCCCCGTCGCACTTGCACCCACACTCACACTTCCACTTCCCGTCGTCCCATTACCCGCACTTCCCAACCCGGAAGAAGCTGTAGACGTAGTCCACACAGTCGTCGTTCCCGTCGGGGTCGGCGTGACCGTTTTCGTCGTGCTAGTTATTAATTCCCCCGTATTTGTATTCGTGGTAATTCCCGTTTGCGATGTCATCTGAGGGATTGGGGTAGGTTTTACTGTTGATTTGGACGGTAAAGTTGCAGCGGAAGAAGAAACAGTATCTGGATTTAAAGTTCCGCAATTCTGGTTTTCCGTGTCCCTACATGCTTTCTGTGCGGCGGGATCATCTTCTCCGGCTGCGATACATTCTAAGTATGTTTGTTCGCAGACGAAGAACGGGATTGTGGAGGTGTATAGTTGCAGAGCGGGAGATGAGGAGTTGGAAGTGCAGGTGCATGAGTAGCAGAGGGATGTCTATAGGGTGTGTTAGGGATGGGGGAGAAATGTATATGGAAGAGGAGTGATTTGAGATGCAAGAGATGAGCGAAAATTTGATACGTACTATATCACATGAATTTTCATCCGTGACACCACCGCAAAGGGTTCCGCATGTGTTGATTTGAACAGTACACCATTGAGCTGGATATTTAATTAGTTAATCAGATTCTCGTAGAACATTCTAACAGAATATAATATGACGAAAAGCAACCCTAAATAACTTACAGCGAGTAGCAACATCGATACTTCTTGGATCAATCTGCGTTTGACAAATCGAAGCCGTCCCTCTCACCACCATCGCAAATTGTGCGACTAGACTTAAAATTTGCACGACTCTCATGATGAAGAAGATCTGTGGACTTCCACTTGAGAAATCAGATAATTTGCGAGAAAAAATTAATGAACTATTAAATCATGAATCTCCCAAATAAACGGTGACAACGAGCGCGATAATCTGCGAAATGTAAAGAAGTTGTGTAAAGCTGCCCGTTATATGTGAAAAAGAATCCCCCGTAAAACGAATGACGAACAAAAACTGCGGCGAGCAAGTATATTTCTGTACGTAGGTATGTGTATATATGTAGGTAAAAAAATCAAAGCGAGCGCAGTCTGATGGATTCCAACGATAGTATTATATGCATCCCTCGAACCAAACCGCAAAAATAAATCCGGCACAAATCGAAAGGAGTCAAAAAAGCAATGAAAAGAATCCAGAGAATATCAGATATTCATATATTCTCCAATCCCATTTCATTTAAATAAAAAAATGAGGAAGAAAGTAAGAGTGGAGGACAGCCTTGCACATCCATCCACCACACGGAGACACCAGAATTTATGTAATTAAACCGTTAGATACACCGGTGCACCTCTCGTACATCTGGAGATTTGTATGCGTGGCTTGCTTATATTTTTCTCACTTACTTACTTCCTCCTTCCATGCAAATTCAATGTTTTCCTGTGTAGGTAGGCACCGGGGGCCTCCCATCCACCATCTATCTATCTGCAATGCTGACATGACAGACACACACTTGTTTGAGCACGCGAACGAAAAATTTGGTACCTAGCTAGGTACACCTGCATCGGTGAAAAAACTCAATTTTTTTCCCCCCCAAAGAAATCTGTTCATGGGGTTCAAGGTTGAACTTTGAACCGCCAACTCAAGCTGTGCATGACAAACACGAAGAGCATGATCTGATCTGAATACGAAGTGTACCCCTCCCCTCGGTCCCAGAACATCCACCCATCCACTCGAAATCTCCACATCTCCAGGATCCACGAATCAGGAGAAGAAGTGCGCACGAGTCACGGACACAAACCCATTTTGGGAGATGTTCCCGATGCAGGTGGGTTTCTGGGTTCGAGGTGTGCCTGCAGATCCGAGGTGCGCAGTCGCTCGGGTCGGGTTGATTGGGGATGGTGTCCGAAGGGTACCCGGGTCGGAATGAAATGGAATGGGTGCGGTGTGGTGTTGTGTTGTGTTGGGTTGGGTTGGGAGAGTTGGTGTAGGGCAGATAGGTAGTATGGTACTATTGTGTTCGTGTGGAGATGCGGGCGCAGGTACGAGATTGGTTGGGATTTTGGGTTTAGGGAAGGGTTTGGATGGTGATGATGGGTTGGGTTGGATGTTGTGGGGAATGAATGGAGGAAGTATGGTTAGGATTGTGTCACCATCCATCCATACCTACCTACCTAGCTTTGTATGATCCGCTACCATTCCATAGCTCGTGATGTACCAATGCATCGAAACATATTCTATTCTATCAATGCCCATAGAGACTACCCATCAAAGATTTACTCTTAATCCATTACGCTTTTCATCACCATGAATTGCGGCTCATCCCGTGACATAGGTTAAACCATCCTTCACCAAATCAGCTATTCTTACATAGTAATCCTGCATTCATTTTATAAATGAACTTCCCAAAGAAAAACCTCACATCATCCTCTCAACCGCAAAGCAAAAGTCCAATTTGATCTTGAAAATAAACATATAAACATATATCATCATATTAAATTTCATATTCATAACCTCTCAATCCCAGCAGCTTAGCTTGGCTTAGCTTAGGTAGGTAGGTAGCTCTAGTACTTCCCAATAGATAGTTTTTCATCCTCTCATACGCTATATCCGATTTACCAGCCCTCAAACTCCTTTTCCAGATCCCACCCCTATCAATAATTTTGACAAACATACACACGCACAGATTCCAACCGATTATCTAACCCCCTCCCATCAATTATTTTCCTTCCCTCCCTAACCCCACCTCTCCCGCCTTCCCCATCTCAAAACTTCCACTCCCACTCCCGTGTTCCCCCACCGTTCCCATTTCCCTCCCCCCAAAAGCCCTCTCCTCCGCCTCTCTTTCCCCCAAATCCCCCGCCAAACTCTCCACCTCCTCATCCTCATCCTCCTCCGGCAACCCCAAATTCAACGCCACGGCCACAAACGCCGTCACCGCAAATCCCGTCTCCATCACCAAAACAATCGCATCGAAGAATCCCGCCTTCGCCCTATCATCCCCGGTATACGTAAAAACATACGAAAACCACGTTGGCACGAGCGTCGCTCCATAACCCAGCGCCAAACTAGCCGTCAAGATGAATCTCGTTCTCCTCGTAAACGGCACCGTTGAGATAATTCTCAGACCCGAGACCGCCACACTCGCGAAGAGGAAAGTTGTCATGCCGCCTAGAACCGCATCTGGAATCGACGTGATAGCCGCTGCGAATTTAGCAAAGACGCCCATGACGACGAGGAAAAAGCACGCTGCGAAACCGGCTTTGCGGTTGGCGCAACGTGTCAAGGCGATGACACCGTTGTTTTGAGCAAAGGTTGACATGGGAGTGATGGTGCAGAGTCCGGCTAACATGCCATTAAGACCATCTGCGAGGACACCTCCTTGAATACGCGAATCGAAGAGGATACCGTCGACTTGGAGACGAGATACATCGCAGGTGGCGGTTATGTCGCCAATGGCTTCCATCATCAGGATAAGGTAGATGGCTAGAAGAGGTAGTATAAAAGGACCGTAGACGCTCAGGGGGAAAGTTTTAACCCAGATGAAAGATGCGACTGGAGCTGCTGTAATTCCACTGCTGTCGAAATAGCCACATGCAGCCGCGATGATACAACCGACCAAAAGGCCCAGAACAACAGCGAGAGATTTCATAATTGGTGATCCGAAACGTTCGCAAATAATAATAGTGATGAAGACCGAGAAACCAAGACCAATAAATTCAGCAGATCCCCATGGAAGTGGATGCGGTGCAGCATTAGAAGGGCAAAACATATAATCCCCCGAAGTAGGTCTCGACATACAAGTTCCGCTTCCTCCAGCCCAACCTTCCAATCCGGTCAGGATAAGCGAAACACCAATTAGCATAACCGTCGGACCCGTAACGATCGGTGGGAAAAGTTTCTTCAGGAGTTTCGGCGTCATGAACGAAAGTCCTATTTCGAGAAGTGCACATAACGATGCCGTTCCAAGCAACGCACCATATCCCTCCGGACAAGGTAATGGTGTTCCATCTTCCGCCGTTTTACACATACCATTTGCGTACATTTGTGAGAATCCCTTTGAAGCAAGAGGGATGATAGCAAATGAAGTACCCACGACCGAGATCAAACCCGTACCAATATAATAAGGTGTTTTCATAATCTTGAACCGAGTGATCTGAACCGCAGATAGAATACCCGACACAATGAGAGAAGTAGAAACGAGATATTGAGTAGTTTCCGTGTCGAAATATGCGGATCCGGCTATGAGAATAGGAGGGGTAATAATACCAGCTAACATAGCTAGAGCATGTTGAAATCCGAGAAGAAGACCTAGTAAAACTGGCATACGATCTTGGAGGCCGAAGAAAGGAGCTCGTCTTTTGGATTTTTTCATGAATGGAAGATTGGGTTTGAAGAGGAAAGCTATGATGATTTAGTTTTGGAATCATTTATGAGAAAAGCAGAGCAAAAGGAGCGAGATCAAAGAACATCCCATCCCCAATTCAAATTTCAAACCTACCATAATCATAATTCCCCACCAACCCCTCCTTCGTCGTAAAAGCCCTCACAGTATCCCGCAGCCTCTCGCCCATCGTCCTCTCCCTCGAATTCTCAGACACAATCCTATCCGGTCCATCCTGCGGTCCACTATCAATGGTAACGGCCATTATGTATCTTCCCACGACACAATTGTCGAGTATCGATCAAGTAATCTCGAGGTTTGCGTTGCGGCTATTACTCGCGTAGATAGATAGCTTCTTTGACGACGATCTCAAAGTCAAAACCAAAATCCCAAGCTAGGTAGAGACTAGATCGTTCTCGAGTCCAGAGAATTAAACGGAATAGAACACAATTGAATCAATGCAATAAATGCAATACAAATAACACAACAGAACAAACCCGAGTGATAGCAATGGAAAGGAAAAAAAGAGGATCTTCAAGTCTATATATCCTCTCCACCCAACCCCAACCACAGCTCTCGACGATAAGTATGCGTATAAATATAAATTAACCCCCGAGGAAAAAATCGGAGACGTCCACTTCCACGCCCCGACGGAAATCCCGAAAAAACAAAATCAATCCGCAGCTTGCAAATTCCAAGCAGCCAGTATCATATCACGGGCAGAAAGTAGCTCGCTCACCTCACACTAATAGGTCAATCTAGCATCGTGCACACTAGGTAACCCAACCCACCCATCAAATTTCATTCATTCTCCACGCCTAGATACGACACCAGCACCCACACCCCATCTCTCCCCCCCCAAAACCCAGTCACAATTTCTCAAAACTCCTCAATCTGGATTCCCAATTCCCACATGCACGCACGAGAAAGAAAGAAAAAAATGGAGTCCGCCCCTTACCGTAGCTCGCTGCTCACGCAGCTTGACCACATCTGCAATCGTGGCGATAAGGAAACCCAACACTGACATTTGTCGAGGCGTAAGAGAAAAAGTTTAACACGATACAAAAAGCTATTCTAATCGAGTAATACAATTGGATAGATAAGCTCTTATCGCACTGGTTATCACTCCCCCCCAATCCGTCGGAACACGCTGGGGTCAGGAAGTCCAATAGAAATCCAATGATCTTCATGCTAGCTAGGTTAGCTCATTGGGCGGAGCCCTCCGTAGCCGATCACGGACCCGAAGGGCTTGTGAGCATTTTGGAGGAAAGAGATATAGATGTAGATATCGACATTGACATTGACATTGCGGAAGGCGGCTACAATAACCATGTTAAAAGAAAAGCGAAAGGGTTTCAGATTCGAAAGTGACCTCATTATCCATCAAATCAGTCGAGTCTAGCTCATTTCAATCCCTTTGATATTCCTGGTATCGTACATTTCCGAAACAGAATACCTACTTCCTTCCATCACCCATAAGCTTTTAATCCCAGAATAACACATGCAATCCATTCGAAGGGGAAAATTTCATTATACCAGCTGCTGAAAAAGATTTATCCAAAGCACATTTACCTCCCGAGGTCTCACTCCATCCTTATGCTAACTATGCAACCGCCATCTTTTCCTCCGACGTCATAAACAAAACACCATTCCCATCATTATCTATCGTTAAATCATCATCATCTAAATTGACCGCTCCAAAAAGTGTTCCCATATGTGCACTATCAACACCAGTTCCAATGTGTGCTAAATCCCCCGCAAATGCCATTGATAAATTACTCGTCGCTACTGTGTTTCGCGGTTCTGTCGTTGAATTGGGTTGAATGTCTGTTTTATCATTTTCTGAATATGAAGGACGATCGGAATGTTGCTCCTGTCGAGTTTCTAAGGTGGAATTTTCTATGGTCGAAGTATTTTGGTAATTATAATGTTGCTCGATTGGATCATGCGTATAATCAGATCCGGAAGTAGACGAGGGCAATTGGATTTGTGATGGCCTGATATCCTGTGTATTCAAGTATGTAATCGCCGCATCTGGTGATCTGGGTGAGATAAATGGCGGCGAATAAGGTTTAGATCGTGATCGACCCCTTTCCGGTACATCGTAGTCATGTACATCAGAAATGCTATCTCGCCTATCGTTATTATCATGAACGGTGACCAACAGTTCCCCTTCATCAGCATGCCTAACATCAATCACAATTGGAGTTGGTGATTGATCATCGTATGCACCATGATACTCATCAATATGTGGAAAATAGTCCAGCAGAGCAGCAGCTTGTGATCGATTTCGTGGATCATCGCTAAGACAACGACCACAAACTTCCAGGAAATAGTCCGGTACATCAGGAGGAAAATCCGATAATTTCAACGGTCTCTGAGTTTCCGGTTCATCGTGTTGAGTGGCCAAGGCGTAGAGAACCATTCCAAGTTGATACAAATCGGATTTGACGCCTATATACATCGAAATTCTCTGGTTGCTTTCTATCAACGCCGCGACTTCCGGAGGTTCCCATCCAACTGGGCAACCTCTTCGGTTGATATCGATTATCTTCGCATTATCATCCCCATCTATGACAATATTCGACAGTGTGAAATCTCCTTGAACAAAACCCGCCTCGTGAATCTCAGAAAGTCCATGAACAATTTGTTTAGCCCAACGTTCCCGTCGTGCCCAAGGAATCCCATTATCACCATCATAAATAACATCAATCAATGCGCCCTGTTCAGCGAAGCTAATGAGAAGTCCTTTCACGCATTTTGCTTCATTATCAAGTACCACGCCACCAAACTGAATAACACTATGAGATCCAGAAAGTTGATGAAGGGCATTAATCTCATACAAGAATTCATCCACTTGATCCGGTCCTGGAATTTCCTTTTTGATAAAAACTTGGCCGGCCACGGTAACCTTGTAGACAAAGCCAGATAGATGAGAATCAAATTCAAGCTCCGCTTCTAGAAATTTGCGACATGGAAGGTGATTGAGAGCCTTTGTAGGAGGAAAATTAATAACTTCGGAGAGATCTTCCACAACATGAACATGAAGTCGTTCATCCTGTGTTTCTAACTTGAGATTTGTCACAGTATCGTAAAATTGTATGTCCTGGAGTGATTCCCGAATAGCCTCATATATGCGCGCACTTTTGTCTCTTTGGAACCTTGTCCTTTGTAATTCTTCCTCCAGTGAATTACTCGGCGCATTTCTATAATCCAGGGAAATCGTAACTCTCCGCCAGTGTGTTGGTGATTCTGCGTAAGTGACAAAGAATTTTTCTCTTTTAGATTTATCTCGAAAATGCATACTCAGATTCAAAATCCATTTCTTTTCCAGCTCCTCAAGTATTGTTTCATCGAACGTATCTGTAGATATCGATTGCTCTTCGATATGTGAACCCTGTTTCTCCTCTTTTGAAACATCTACATACTCTTGAGACTCGTTCTCATGTTCATTTGTGGTTGGCGTAGGTGGTCGCACAGATACATTGTCAAACGTCTTATCGATCGTTTCCACTCTTTCTAGGAATTCAGGCGCGCTGGTTCTTGGTCCATGATTTATAGCAGCCGATGACGAACGATGCGAGTTATTAAGTCGACGATCGACTGAAGCTGTCCGCCGTTCATCAGCATTCGGTTTGACTGGTTCTAATCTATCTCTCAGCTCCGATTGTTGTCTCTTAAAGGTACCTGCCCTTGGAAGTCCAGGGACAACCCTTCTTGAAAGTCGACGACCCAATCCTGGCGGTTGAGCTTCATTCGGTGGAGAACTCGGCGGTGTGTGATTTTCATCCTTCTTGGGAAATATGAGCTTTCGAAACCAGGATATTCTATGATTGTTCGATTCCGGCGAACCTGGCTCCGTTTGTGCCATCGTCCTTCTCGTAAATTTGAGCCAGTATTTTCCCATAAACTGGGATATACGTCAGTACACTCGAATTGAAGTGTTGAGCAAAGAGAATCGATTCCTACATCTGCGGAAAAGAAATAACACCCCAGAAGGATAACAGTATAAAGTTTTCAACAAGGTCACATCAATGATTCGGTAGGCTTGTAAGATGACTGTACGGAGTAGAATTGATTGTGTAGTGAGTGTAGCAAGCAAGCAGTTATTCGGTAAAAAGAAGAAAAGAAGACAGACGATGCTTTCTCAATGTATTGAGAAGAAGGGGTATCATTAAATTCAAAGAAGCATACAAGCAAGGAATGAGAGGCGAAGAAAAGTATTCTATTCGAAGATATTGACGTCGATATTTAATGAAATTTTCTCGAGGAGGTCGTGAACAAGGTCAACCTGTTGAATTATTCCCCTGCCTTGTTTGTATCACAATGCCCCCAAAGGAATTGTAGAGATGGATAGAGATGGATAGGGATGTATATTTTAAGGATAGAAAAAGGGATGAAAAGATGCGATGCGATGCAATGCAGAGAGAGAAAAAGAAGGCTGTACACTTTTTTTCTCTCTCTCAATTCAAATTAAAGGAACGTGGAAAAACAAGAAGATAAAATACCGTATCATTATTTGCTGTATGTATGATGCACATGCATCAATGCAGTGAATGAATGGGTGGGTGGATGTGTGGATGTGTGGATGTGTGGATATGGATATGGATGGGTATGGATGGATATGGATCTGGATGTGGTTGAGTTTGAGTGTGAGTGCGAGTGTGAGTGCGAGTGTGAGTGCGAGTGTGAGTGTGAGTGTATTTTCCCCAAGAAATATATATGAGGTGGCAGAAGGAAATATGAATTAACTAGGTACGTATTGAGGAGGTGGATGACAACACCCGGAATTTCAGGAACATTATGGAGAGTTTTGTTTGGGAATGACGAACTGGTATCCTCTTCTCCGTTATCCTCTTTCCCCGCTGGTTGCCTTTTATTGCCTCACTTTGATATTGAACGCCCCGATCTGACACGATGGAAGACAATGACAATGACAATGACAATGATCATGACAAGATTCTGTATATCATCAGATATTTCATATCATATCTACCGAGATACATATGTACTATAAAGTACTTGGTACTCATCATGTTTTCATCGTTGTCAATACATCTACAATACCGATTCCCATTCTCCCTTCAAATCTCCAATCTCCAATCTCAATCTCAAGTCTCAAGTCTCAAGTCTCAAGTCTCAAGTCTCAACACGAAACACAAATTTACTTTGTATCCACGGAAATTCATTCTAACCTCCAGCTGTGTTACAACTCACCAAATACCAAATATAGCATTGTACGATTACCCAGGTGGGAGGTAGGAGGTCGGTGTACTTCCCAACACATATCCATAAGGCGTTCTGTTCTGTTCTGTTCTGTTATACTTTCTACGTATCTAGTGATACACCCACCCACCCATCTATTCCCATTCCTCAAAACAACAACACCACAGACAGTATCACTGATGTTCACGTATCAATCAATACCCAAACATCAGATCACTACCTGTTCCCCTAGAATAATAACCTCATGCTCTCGGCTCTCGTCCTCGTTCGTATGTAATCATATCATAAAACCGCCCGTCTAACTTTCCATGACCATCTCGTTGGGCATGAACCTAAAAAAACAAGCCACTCTTTGGGTCGCCATGAGGCTTCTTGTTTTCAATTGCCCACGTAGCAATCATGTGCTTGCTTCTCACATTCCCTAGTCTGTGAGTGAGGCGGTAGGCGGTAACCTTGAAATATCCGATTCATACCTTGAGAGTCGGGAAATGATGGCTACAAAATGTATACGAGCATGCTAAGTGAAGGAATCATATACTTCCGTTTCACCAGTTGTTAGCTGTGAAGTTTGGCTTACTGCATCTATCCATTCATTCATTCATCCATTCATCCATCGGATGCAAAATGATATTTATAAACCTACTATGTATGAAGAGCATTGTAATCTACTCTACCTGTCTACCGCACGAGCCCGAATAAACGAACCGAAACAAACAAACAAACTACTACCTACTCGAGAAGGTAGTATTCAATGAATGAATCAATCAATCACCTCAATCTTCCCCAATCCCCTCAACCCCCAACCGTCGCCCCGCCCGCCGTTAAAATAACCTGTAGGTCCCCGCACTCCTTACATGAATCTATCTACTCAGCCCCACCCCCCAACCCATCCCGTACCACCCCCAACCGCATCCCGAGCATTCCCAGCAGCACACCGGAAGCCCCAACCCCTCCCGAGAGAGACAGGGAACTTGAGAGCATACAACCTTATCACCATGACATAACGAGGACGCACACGATATCATACCATCCGCTTCAGCTCGGGGGAATCATGCAGCCCGCGCGCAAGTGTGCAAGCTCATGTTCTGGTACCACTTACATTTCATACTATACCATACTATACTATACTATACTATACTATACTATACTATACTATACTATACTATACTATACTATACTATACCACTCCGCAAGATTCATGCAGAAACACGAGCGAATCATCTCGTGCAATTGAATTCATGATCGGGATCTGAGAGGGGATATCACGATCGTGTATAGGTAGTTGGAGTTACATTGACAGGAGCAAGAGCTCCTAGATTCGAGATCGATCGTCGACTATTCTAAAGATGTCAATTGGATTTCCAATCGTGTGTAGGGTTTCTGATTAGGATATTCTGTTACGTGTATACCTAGCTATAGTCATAAGAGGAAGAAGGAAGAATAGAAATTAGATAGCAAATAGAGTAGGTAGTATCTAAATAGTCTGAATAGAATTGTAGGTATTCACAAATATAGAATACTAATATCAATATTAACGAATTACCCCTCCTTTAAAAATCAGATCATCTAGATTTATATCTATCTTTATTTATCTACATCTCTATCTCTATATATCTATTAATATCTATCTACTTATTTATTTATCTTATATTAAAAAGTTATAATATATAAAACTAAAACTAATATTAATCTATCAGAAAGCAACCACCTGACAGAGTATATATAGTAAATCTATTGTTCCGAATGTATTCGGAATACTCTACACTTTTGTGGGTTAGTAGTAAAGTGAATCAATTCTAATATTGTGTTTCGAATATAAGAATATTTTATTCTGAGCTTTTTATTCGATAAATCTGAATGAGGATAATCATACTTTGAATTCAATCTCGGTGATTGGTTTAGTTGTAGTTATTGCACTTCTAGTATTCTATGTTTATAGATTTATGTTTATAGGGAACTAGCTTCTTCCTGATTGGCGTATACCGGATAGATTCGTACAAGATAAGGGTAAGTATCAGGAAGCAACCACCTGACAGGGTATATATAGTAGATCCACTGTTCCAAATGTATTCAGAATACTTCACGCTTTTGTGGGTTAATAGTAAAGTGGATTAATCCTAATATAATCTAATATTAATATATAAAATCTATTAGATATTAAAAAGTTATAATACTATAATAATATAATATAAAATAATTATTTTATAAAATAATTATTTTATAAGATAGTTATTATAATTCTCAATTCTCAATTCTCAATTCTCAATTCTCTTCACTTCCACTTTCACTTTCACTTTCATCTTCATCTTTATCTTCATTCAATATATACCTAGTATACCAAACACATATACATACACACACACACAGAGAGAGGGAGAAAATTGCATAAAAATAAAAATACAATTATATCGCACCTAAACTATCTATCTACCTCCTTTCCCCTCTCCCTCCCCCTATCTCCCCCCGCAGTTACCAAAAAGTGTCAATGAACAAAAAGATCATATATATACCCCTTAATCCACAAAGCACAATCCATATCTACCTTTACCCTCTTCCCTCCCCCTCCCTTTCCCTCCTCTTCCCCACCATTGACTTTCCCTCCCCTCTCCCAAATCCCATTCACCCATTCACCCACCCATCCATACTTGAACCCCTCAAAATCCATTTGTAAATCCTTTTTTATTCTTAAGAGTAGAGATCCATCCATCCATCCATCCATGCATCCGTTCATCCATCCATCCATCATTAAAACAAACAAAACTCCCAACCAACGCCATGAAATGCCCAACTATCCACCCACCCATCCATCCATCCACCTCTGCTCAACACTCAAGCACGCACACACCAGCACCAATATCACCAGTGCCATAATACCACAACGGTAATTTTCACCAGATTCTTCTTCTACTACTTACACTGTATCTCCATTTCCATTTTCATTTTTCAATCCAATAGAGTAAATGAATTCCTCACTCATCATCTCCATCCTTCTCCCCCTTCTTCTTCACCAATCTATCTTTCCAAAGTCCATTCGCAGCCTCTTTATCCAGATTTGGGAAGACGAGATCAAATACATCCGAATACCATTTTGCGGGTTTACCTTCAATTCCATCCTTGATGTTCTATATTTCTCAAATTAGCATTTTCTCCTTTCCTACTATCAGATATACAAAGAGGAAGAAACTTACAGCTGGAAGTTCCAACCAATCACTCATGTTGTCATCTGGGAAGATAATCATTTTACTTCCCGCCCTTCTTGCAGCTACAGTCTTTTCTCTTAATCCTCCAATCCTGAGTACCTTACCCGTAACAGTAAGCTCACCAGTCATAGCAATCGTTGGATCAAGCGGTCTATCCAGTGCTAGCGAAAGCAACGAAGTAGCCATCGTGATGCCCGCGCTCGGTCCATCTTTTGGAACCGCTCCCTCAGGGCAGTGAAGATGTAATTTCGCCTTATCGAAGAAATGATTATCAGGGAAGTTTTTGGCCATAACTGATTTAGCAAAGGAATACGCGATTGTGGTGGATTCCTTCATGACAGCTTGGAGATTACCGGTGGTAGCGAGACCAGGGGTGGAGGAGGGGGATAAGGCACTTTCGAGAATGGATTCAACATATAATGCGGCGCCACCCATTTGTGTCCAA